GGTCCAAATGGACAGTGACCAAGGTCAGCAGCAGAGGGTGGTGGAATGTGGTGGGTGTAGAGGCATGAGCTGAGAGGGCATAGAGGCTGGGACTGGGGCCAGCAAGGTATCTATTTGCTCTGAGAACTGCTCAAACTCTAAGTTAATGTTTCCTGAGGACAGCCCTGGGAAAAGTATCATTTCCAGCTTCAACACACTCATCTCCTTTTCTTCACCATTTATTGTTGCTGTCTGTATTGACTCAGTCCCATGTGACTAGAGCTCATTTAAAGTAGAAAGGGAAGCCAGATGGAAGCAAGACTGGCTCCTGTGCCTGCCCTCTCGGGATGAGGAAGTGCTGAACCAAACAGGAGCCCTGAGGAGAAGCAGCTCCGGTCCTGCCTCTGTCTTCCCATTCTTATTTGTGGCTTCTGAGGAAAGAGTAGAAAGGAGCAAGGAGGAAAGGGTCATGGTGGATGGGTAAGGATATGAAAAGGCCTGTTTCCATGCCTCTCACACCGGCAGGACACAGCCTGGTTCAAAGGAAGTGTGTGTGCATCCCCGTTAGAAGGAAAGGCTGTAACCACCACACTCTCAGAGTGCTCGTGCCCTCATGTGTACCAGCACAAACGCAAAATAAGCGGTAAAAGTTCTTCTTTGCAAGGTACAATTATAGATAGATTTTGCAGGACAGTGCCGGGCACACAGTAATTCCTCTATAAGTGTTTGTATAAAAACTAAAATCACCCTTTATAAGAAGGAAAGCCCAGAGATTTTTGCTCTATAGGTATATTCTTTTTTTAGTCCCTCTGACTAATTATTTGTTGATTTCTAGCCCGTAGTTTCAATCAAATAAGAGGAATTTTCAAAGACTTGGTAAGTTATTGGCAAAATACCCTCCAAGTGAAGGAAGAACATTCCCCAGACCTGTAGGGGCGTGTTGGAGGGAAGCTGAGAGCTTTTCTCCGCAGCTCTTGCCCCACCAGTGCCAATCGCCTGCTAAATCTGAGGGCTCCGGCCCAGGCTGATCCCCACAGCCTTCTGCATTTTTGCCCCACCCTTCCTGCTGAGCCCGAGCCAGCTCAGTATTAAAACCTGTTTTGTGTCCCCCTGTGGTGAGCCCAGGCCCTGTTCCTTCTGCGTCTGTGAGTCGTGGGGGAAACTGCAGTGAGAGCCTGAACAATACGTCCAAAGTTCCATAACATTTCAAGGCCTGGATTAGGACCAAGTCATGGCCCAAGGCAAGGCTGAAAGATTTGTACTGTGCTGTGGCCCACAGTTCATGTGAAACACTTGCAGAGGAAACTCAGTTCCAAGGGGTCAGGCTCACTCGTCATTATGACCCCCATAATGGCAGCCAGGGGTGCCTTCCAAGCCCACCTGAGCTGAGGCTAAGTGGATGCTTTACTTCTGGACAGCTGCATTTCTCCAACCTGTTTGGAGGGGGCTGAGAGTCCTAGAGAGGCTGGGTGGGGTTCAGCAATAGAATGCAGTCTTGGTCAAGGCTCCCTCCAACTCTCTAGGTCCATAGAGCAACTTGTGCTCCTACTTTCAAGCCCCTGAGATTCTGAGGATCCTGCTGAGATCAAAGCTGGGCCCCAGAGTTGGGGTGTGGGCAGAATTCCCATGGCTTTGGGTGGAGGCAGAAAAAATGCTTTCCTCAATTCCTCCCCGAGGGTAGGGTTTTGTGAAGAGCTGTGTGGGGCTGGCACATCCCTCCATCTGCCCTTCCCCATTCCTTGAATCTGGCTCCAGGCTCCCAATGGGACTGCCAACCATAGCCCAATGAATACGTTGACTCATGCCTCAAGTATGGCTCCCCACATTTTGTGCTGAACACGCATGGGATAGAAAAGCTGCAAAGACGAAGACACTACTGCTTTCTTCCTCTCCTGGGGTGGGGCTTGAGGGCTGTGGAAGGACATGAGGGCTACCGGTCCTGCCGGGACGACAGGGAGAGGAATGCAGTGCCCAGGTTGAAGGAGACAAGGACTTTCTCTGTAGACATAGACCCAGACACGGAGCAGATGGGACTCAGCACACAGCTGGGGAGAGCTCAAGTGAAGACCAGGGGAAGGAGAGCAGGGAGATAACCCCTACCTAACAGTGACATTCAGAAAAGGTTTGTGGAGCAGCCCCAGTGAGAAAGGCTGTGCTGAGTGTTTGGGTGGTGCACAGTCCCCTAACCCTGGGGACTACACCATTGGGGTGAGCCTAGAGGACATGTGGAAAACTATGTTCTACTGAAGGTGTCCTATTTATTATCTTCTATTAAGTGCACCTCCCTCGAGGAGAGGGAGCTGGCTTGGTGGTGCAGGATTACCTACTTCTCCCCCATGAGCTGATATTCCTCCAGGCCTGCTGTCTTAAAATGCTGCAGTCTCCATTCCCTGCATGCCTCTGTGGGAGCGGTCAGAGAAGCAGCCCTGTGTCCTCCTTCTCTGATGGGGAGATCAGCAGGGCAGCCATTAGAGAGAACCCTCAGCCTGCACTTGCTTGCTGAAAGGAAAACAGTGCCTGGAGAAGCTAAGTACTGTGTCTGACCAAGTCTCAGGAACTCCCTGTGGGGTGCCCAGAAGCAGAGCTTTGAGGTTCAGTATAATCTCTCTTTGCCTGCCACAGTGGGCTCTGGGTTAGGGTGGGATCCCCTGCTATAGAGGAGTTGATGCCTGGCTTCCCACAGGGCTCCATTCATTACATCTGCCCAGATCTGACATGGTGGGAGGGCCTGTCCTGCCTGCTGGGGAGGTTTCCACAAAGTCCAAGGGACAGAGTGCTGCTTCCTTCTGAGTGAGGCACATAATACTCCCTGCTACAGTTACTTGCCACACACACACCACTGTCCCTGGCACCTGGATCTGAGCTTGGCACATGGCAGTGATCCTCAGACTGGACACAATGCACTCCTGTCCCACCATGTCCTCCTACTACACAGCACAACCATAAGAAAAACAAATGGGGAGAAGAGAATGTCCCAGTGTCTCAGGAGGGGTTGGGTCTTCCCAAAGGCAGTGGCAACTGTACCCAGGACCTGTCTGACTGTAGCAGGATGTGTCCTGAGAATACTCTTTTAGGGAAGAAGGAAAGCTCCTGCTATGGGGCCCCAGACAGTTGCTTCTAGCTTGGACCTGTCCTGTCAGGGTTGAAGCCCCCGGTATATCTCAGGACGCTCATATCTCTTCTTTAAAACACAGCAAGTGTAAAATTGGTGAATTCAATAAAATTCATCTCTGAGGGTCTCAGAAACTCTCCAGGCAGGGAAGTAAGCCAAACCTCATTGCCCAAAACCTGTAAGGCCAGCTCTGGCCATTGTCTGTCTGCTGGGATTATCTATCAGCTGCCTTCTCATCCCAGCCCTCTAGTGAGCAATCATCATCCCAGCTGATCCCCAGCACTGGGGTCATTTTCCCACAGCCTTGGCTTCCTTGTGGCCAACCACATGCCCTGCCCAGATTTCTGAGCCTGGGCTGGATCCTGACTCCTTTGCTTTTGAGAACATGGGCTTCAACCCTGGGGCTTTGAATCTGTCCCAGTGCACCCCCACCTTCCACTCCAACCAAAGCAAAGCTCAGCTCCTAGTAGTCCCAGCCCTACCCTGCTTGAGGATCCAGTTTTTGTCTCTGGGGGAAGCAGACAGGTGATCCTCACTCAAGTCTGCAGCAAGAAAGAGAAGGTGTGGTTTAGGACTAGAGCTTGCTAAAATCTAACCATAATTCCCTTTTTTCTTCTGGTGCCACAATCAAGACTGCCTTGGCTATGGGCACCTAGGAGCTCTCCTAAAGCAATTGGTATGTTGCTATGCTAGCTGCAAGATCCCTTAAACTCATTCTGGTTAGTCTGTCTGGCAGGACAATCCACAGACTTAGAATTCCCTTTTTCATTCCCTTGGCCTTGAAAGAGGCCTTGGGCTGGAGCTCCGAGAAAGCACTGTGATTCCCGCTGCTCAGAACAGGACGGTTTGCCGTTGTAACAGGCCGGTGGATTCTCGACATGTTCCTGATGAGATTAGAAGCTCCTGCAGGTATGTGTTTGTGGCGGCCTTCAGCCTGTATCAACAGATACAATGACTCACTCCTTCCCTGGTGGAATAACTGAGAGCTGGCTGGAACACACCTGGGGGCTGGGGGAGCCAGCAGAACAGCTCCCCTTGAAGACTGTCTGCCAGCCCAGGGTCAAGACGTTTTGTAAGGAATTGTACAGACCCCTGGCTCTGCTAAGCCCCTGCAGGGCCCTGTCCAGGCCAAAGAACAAGGACAAGGTCAGTGGCACACAGAACACTGAGTTAGGAAGAGCTGTGGAGGGACAGACCTGGCTGTGAAGAGGACAAAGTGCTTTACAGCAAGCAGCGGGATCCCACATTCTGTTTCTGGAGCTTAGCAATTCAGAGAGACTTTCTGGCCTCAACCTTGCAGGCAAATCTGCCCAGTGGACTCAGGGATAAAGTATCTTCTCTAAGAAAGAAGTAGCACTTGAAAGGAACAGACTCCATTTCTCCGGCTGGCTCGTGCTAAAGACATACGGCCACAGATTAACTTGCCAAGAGCCGAAGTCCCCATGGCAAACTCTTGCCTAGTAAAATGTAAGCAGAAAAGATTGTTGCCAGTGGGGACTTGCTTTGTCTCCCACTGGTGGATAGTATCACCTAAGCTGGCAGGATAGCGGTTACCATGCTGAGACGGTGGACATTGTGCCTGGTCCTACAAGAATTCCCAGGACAGAGGCCATGGGCAAATGCCCCCTTGTTTTCTGGCACCTTCTTGGGCAGCTCACAGACCCCCAGACCCCAGGGTGAAGAGAGACTCACTGGCATTGTCACCGAGGTCCTGCCAAGTGATCAGTGCTGTGAGGCAAGGTTATTTCTAACTAAGCAGAGCCTGCCAGAAAGCGTTTGCCTCGGAACACTGTGCAGGTGTGCCGGTGAGCTCACAGCTGCCCCCCAGGCATGCCCAGCCCACTTAATCATTCACACAGCTCGACAGCTCTCCCGCCCATCCCACTTCTGAGGGGATAAAAGGGGGATTGCCGTTCCAGGATAACAGAGCCACCCACCGTGTTCTGCTGAGCTCTGTTCTCTCCAGCACCTTCCAGCCCGCCAGTGCCCCGCACTCTTGCTCCATCAGGAACAAGCCACCATGTCTCGCCAGTCCAGCGTGTCCTTCCGCAGCGGGGGCAGCCGCTCCTTCAGCACAGCCTCCGCCATCACCCCATCTGTCTCTCGCACCAGTTTCAGCTCTGTGTCTCGGTCCGGGGGTGGCGTTGGTGGCAGGGTCAGCCTTGGGGTTGCTGGTGGAGCGGGTGGCTATGGCAGCCGGAGCCTCTACAATCTGGGGGGCACCAAGAGGATTTCCATCAGTGCTAGTGGCGGCGGCTTCAGGAACAGATTTGGTGGCGGTGCTGGAAGCGGCTTCGGCTTTGGAGGCGGAGCCGGCAGTGGATTTGGTTTTGGCGGTGGAGCTGGTGGTGGTTTTGGGCTCGGTGGCGGAGCTGGCTTCGGTGGTGGCTATGGGGGCGCTGGCTTCCCCGTGTGCCCCCCTGGCGGCATCCAAGAGGTCACGGTCAACCAGAGTCTCCTCACTCCTCTGAACCTGCAAATCGACCCCACCATCCAGCGGGTGAGGACCGAGGAGCGTGAGCAGATCAAGACCCTCAACAACAAGTTCGCCTCCTTCATCGACAAGGTAAGAGACACCCACTAGGAGTCTAGAGTAAAAGCTGAAGCTGGGGGAAGACAGAAGGCTTTTCAGGCTGTGCCAGACATTTTCATGTTTGTAGCTATTTCTGTTTGCTTCTGTGTGCAGTATTAGGGGCCTTGTTTCTCACTTAGACCTGCAGCTTGGAAGGCAGGGTCTTATTTCTTCCCATTCAGAGGTTGGGTTGTAAGGTCTCCTTGGTTCTGGGTGGACAGGCAGGTGAGCTCTGCACACCACTTAGAGGGAGGACTGCTTGGGAAGGCAGATGTGTTTATCGGGGGCAGCTGGAGATCATTCATAGTCTCCACTACACCGGACCATGCTCCAGGTGGCCATTCCTGGTCTGGCTTGGCCTAGGTGAGGGTCCTGTCTCCCCAAGAAGACTGAGGTTGGGTGCCCTATTCTGGACCTCTCCTTGAGGCTGAGGAGGGCACTGCACACAGGAACATTTATGTGTGGGGTGGGGAGCAGCATGAGCTGGGAGATGCAACGGTGAACTGGTCACTGGAGCAGGAAGTCCTACTTTCTCTGTCCTTACACTGTGCTCTTGTCCAGGTGCGGTTTCTGGAACAGCAGAACAAGGTTCTGGACACCAAGTGGACCCTGCTCCAGGAGCAGGGCACCAGGACCGTTAAGCAGAGCTTGGATCCTCTGTTTGAGCAGTACATCAACAACCTCAGGAGACAGCTAGACTCCATCGTTGGGGAGAGAGGCCGCCTGGACTCAGAGCTGAGGAATATGCAGGACCTGGTAGAGGACTTCAAGAACAAGTAAGCTGAAGGATAGGTGGAGACAGGGAAACTGATATCTTCTTTATATCAGATAAACTTTGTAACCAAACTTTCACTTCTGGTTTCCCCATGGGTTAGAAGCATACCTTCGCTGGATATCTACAGTACTTTTTTTTTTTTTTTAAATCTAGCTCCATGTTTGGAAAGTTCTAGCACATAGCTCTTCTGTAAGGCACTTAGCTAACAGCTAAGCTGGCACTGTTGGTACCATCTCAGTGCCATCATTAATCCTTGCTCTCTGGGGCTTCCCTCTCCAATGCACTTAACATACACTGTAGAACTTTTGCTGGCTTTCCCTCAAAGCAGGAACTGATGATTTAACCTAGCTTGGTGGCTCCAGGATTTTTTTTAGTCATGTGAATTAGCTAGTGGCCTGCTAGCTTTTGGTTTTGTTTCTTTTCTAAAAAGCATTTAAAGCTAACAAAAGTGCTAGAGAAAGTGGCTAGATGTGGAGCTAGGAAGAAACAGCACAGCTTTGCTATACGAACATCTTGAAGGAACTCAATTATGGTGACAATAAAATGAGTATGTGGCAGGTAGTTACAGAGAAGGCAGCATAACTGGTGAGGACCTTACCTAGGGCTCACATTACCATGTCTGCTCCCTCTGTACTTACGAGATGTGAGAAGCCTCTTCCCAGTATAAGAGCAGACCCACATGAACTTGGTCAACAAAGATCCCTCATGCGTCCTTCATTCCTTGATGAACACTTCCTGTCCCTTTTACAACCAGGTATGAAGATGAAATCAATAAGCGTACCACTGCTGAGAATGAGTTTGTGATGCTGAAGAAGGTATGTGTGGGTGGTGGAAACGGTAGCCTGAAGCTATGCTGGCTGTTCCGAGGGTGGAGTCATTTAAGTCCTTGTTTGGTGCCAACCACCTGTTTCTCTAGGATGTAGATGCTGCCTACATGAGCAAGGTGGAGTTAGAGGCCAAGGTTGATGCACTTATGGATGAGATCAACTTCATGAAGATGTTCTTTGATGCGGTGAGACACCTAAATTTTTCATGTGGATAGTTATTCTTTTTTTTCTTGAGTCAACATTCCACAATAAATGGAAGACTCAATTGGAACTGACATTAAATAACATAAAATCAGATGACTGACTTCAAATCTCCCTGCAGGAGCTGTCCCAGATGCAGACACATGTCTCCGACACCTCTGTGGTCCTGTCCATGGACAACAACCGCAACCTGGACCTGGACAGCATCATCGCTGAGGTCAAGGCCCAGTATGAGGACATCGCCAATCGCAGCCGGACTGAAGCTGAGTCCTGGTACCAGACCAAGGTGGGTGCTCTGGAAAAGTCCCCTCACTGCGGGGATGCACCTATGCCTAGGATTCCGGGCTGTGACAATGCTAAGAATGGGGCTCCTGTGGCCTGCTGAGACCAGCTGGGATGAGTTATAGGAAGAAGCATGTATACATTTTCCTCAGAAACTAAAAAACCTGAACAAGAATTTCACATCAGTGTCTCTTGGAAAGCAAAGACACTAGCAAGGAAATTACTGAAGACCAGTTCCACCTTGAAAAAAGCTGAATCAGTCCCAGACCCCAAATAACTGTACTGTTTGAGACCTCTCAGCGGCTTTTGCCTATGAACTTGGGGAAAGTGTTCTTGACCCTCATATAAACTGTATCTTTTTTGTCTGGTGTCGTCAGTATGAGGAGCTGCAGCAGACAGCTGGCCGACATGGTGACGACCTCCGCAACACCAAGCATGAGATCTCTGAGATGAACCGCATGATCCAGAGGCTGCGAGCTGAGATCGACAATGTCAAGAAGCAGGTAGGATGAGGTCGAAAGAGGATGAGGAGGAAGGGGCCTGAGCTCTGAATAGCAGACATAGCTTGCTTTACTTTTGTGTGTTTCACAGAGAGAGAGAGAGAGAGAGGGAGAGAGAGGGAGAGAGAGAGAGAGGGAGGGATGGAAGGAGGGAGAGAGAAATAGGGAGAGAGAGAGAAAGATCTGGAGCAAGCACCAATGTTGTCCTTTTCCACCACCATTATGACCAGGACAGATACACTGGGTTCTCACTTGAGCTCCAGAGGGTTTTGTTTGACTGCCTAGACTCTCAGAAAGAAACACTCCAGGTCCAGCTCAGCTACTACACTGTCCCCACTCTTTCTTCCTTTCCTTCTGTAGTGCGCCAACCTGCAGGCCGCCATCGCTGATGCCGAGCAGCGTGGGGAGCTGGCCCTCAAGGATGCCAGGAACAAGCTGGCAGAGCTGGAGGATGCCTTGCAGAAGGCCAAGCAGGACATGGCCCGGCTGCTGCGCGAGTACCAGGAGCTCATGAACACCAAGCTGGCGCTGGATGTGGAGATCGCCACCTACCGCAAGTTGCTGGAGGGCGAAGAGTGCAGGTGAGCTGGCACTGTGGGCCATTTGATAATGCGGAGCTGCTCCACTGAGGGTGTAAAAAACACTGCTGTCTTGTGCATGATAATTACCCACTCTGCACTGATTTCTGTCTGACATATGGGTACACTGCAGGCCTCAATTCACTTTTCTGCTTTATTCCCCACCCTCAGCGTTTTTGGGTGCTGCCTTTTCTCCCAGCAAATAAGCAGCTCAACAAGTGAGCCCTGAACTTTGTCCCCTTTCTCCTTTCTCTCAGGCTTTTTTCTAGACCTCAATATCCACACCACACCTGTACTCACCCTTGGCCTCCTGATCCTTCAAGTGCCCCTTCCTTTAGAAAAGCTTTCATAGTTCTTCCAGTGGATTCACCTACCTTTGGATTCTCAAACTATTTTCTTCAGTCTTCTGATACTGCCATTGACCTACTTTCTGTTTGAGGAAATTCTGTGTAGGCCAAATTCTGTCACAAACTGTAAGATCCTAGAGACAAAACTTGCTTCATACATATTCATATTTCCCACAACCTCTTACTTATGCTTTCTATAAAATGGGTGGAGAAGAATGTGAGTTATGTTCCTTTGACTACCTATCTCTAAACTAGGATTGCGTCACTGGAAAATCCCTCCAGCATGCTACCCGTTCTTCCAGCTAGAGTTGTTTTCTGGGCATGCAGACCCCTGGCTTTAGGATGAGATCTAATTTAATCTAATCTAATCTTATATAATCTAGTCTAGTCTAATTTAAGGGAATTAGCCACAGACTAATGCCATCTTTTAGGAACTTTAAAAAATTTCTCATTTCAAATTTTTTTTCTCTTTCAGACTGAGTGGAGAAGGAGTTGGACCAGTCAACATCTGTAAGTAACTCTGAGCAGACATTCACAATGATGATAATAGGGGATATTTGGTGCCAACTCAGGATCCTGATGTTTTTAGACTCCAGACTTGCCACACCCCAATACATTACTATTTAATGCACTCAGTGAGAATCCAGTGGTGGAGGGGACAGAACACAGATTGGGGCATGAAGCAATGTAGCTCAGGTCTTATCTTTTAAAGGCTAGGCTATGTATCACATACATGTTGGAACCTGTTCCACATGAATACCCAGCACCATCCCTTGCTTCCTATATTCTCCAGCCTGCTGCCAGGGACCATCAGTAAATGATGTAATTCTTTTAGGCCCCTTTTGTAACTCTGTAAAAGAGACCAGATGTAGTACACCCACATTAGGATTAAATAAGCTGTCCATGTAGGATCAATCTGACTAGTCACACCACTTCTTCTCTCTCCACAGCGGTTGTCACAAACAGCATGTCCTCTGGCTATGGCGGTGGAAGTGGCTTTGGCGGTGGAAGTGGTTTTGGCGGCAGCCTCAGTGGAGGCCTTGGCAGTGGTCTTGGTGGAGGTGGCAGCAGTAGCTACTACTCCAGCAGCAGTGGAGGTGTCGGCCTCGGCAGTGGGCTTAGTGTGGGAGGCTCCGGCTTCAGCTCAAGCAGTGGCCGAGGGGTGGGCGTGGGCTTTGGTAGTGGTGGGGGCAGTGGTTCCAGTGTCAAGTTTGTCTCCACCACCTCTTCCTCCCGGAGGACCTTCAAGAGCTAAAAAGAGCCTGCTGCAAAGCACTGTCCCCTGAGGACAGCCGCCCAGCTCATGGAGTCACCTCTTGTAGACAGTCTCCCAATCCAAGTTTTCTCTTTTTCTGGAGAGTAGTCTAGAACATGCCTACTGCAGAGCCATATTCTTTGATTCCTAGAAGGACCCGATTCCTTTATTCTTATCTCCCACATCACAATTCCATCTTCTGCTTCAAGTCAGTCTTTTGGTCCCCACAGCATAGCCCCTCGTGATACAGGAATCCAAAGTTTTGCAGTCTCTACACCATCAAAACAGAATTTGCACCCCAGCACCCACCCAAGTCATGTCCTGGTTCTGACTACCTCCAGAGCGTGTTCAATAAAATGCTTTTATAATATAAGCCTTGGTGCAGAATTGTTTTTTCTAGGTCTGCCATCAACCTAGAGACCTCATGAGGGTCAGTCGGTCCAGATGAGATTGATTCCTGTGATGACTCACACAGAGTGTGGGAAAACTTTCAAGTGCAATTGGCCTTCAGGGGTGGTCCAGGGACTTGAAGAGATGTGAGAGGAGATTGGTGAAGCCTCTGCCAGGAAGGAATCTCTGCAGTGCACACAAAGGGGTGTATATTGCTTTGAACTGTGGAGAGATTTTACAGCCTTTTGTTGAAGGGAGCCCATTTAACATGGAGCAATTTGTATGTAACAGCATAAATTGCCTTAGGTAACATTGATAAAAGAAGAATATGTTGGTTTCAGAACCCCAAAGGGTCTAAAAGACACTGGGGTTCTTCTAATATAGTAGACACTGAGAGGGTCAATAGCTGTTGACACTGTCAGCAATGCAGCAGTCCTCAGTTTACCATGTAATTTCAGAAATTTAACTGAAGTGGCAGGTCATTACCCTGTGTGTGCAGCAAGGCATGCCTTGCTTTTGTGAGGTTCTTTGTCAATGTTTATGCCCTGAATGTGTGTATATAAAACGAATCTCTTTGGAGGAAGTCTTATCCATATATATCATGTCTGTGTTCTTGGAGAGTCAGGTGCAGACAAGATCAAAGGTGGCACACAGTGACCAGGCTGTTAAGATGCTCTGTGGACATCTGGGAAAGGCAGGTTGTACTCCTGCAAAAGTGAAGGTGGTTGAAATGGGCACTGGACAGAATATTATTAGCAAATCTGAAAGAGGCAGTATTTTCCAAGTATGAATTGCGTAAGTCAGTGATTCAATAATATTGAGGATGAATAGCTGTGACCATGGCATTAAAGTTGTGATGATCCAGCACCATTCATTTTCTGAGTTTAAAAATAGGCCACATTGGTTTGCTGAATAGAGAAACAGTGGTGTATAATCACCCCTCTAAGTAGACCCCATATAATGGGGTTCATCCTGAAGGTCCTGCTTTAATTTTCACTTGAGTATATTTACTATTTTAATTGAGGGGGAGTCCATGGAGACCAATTTTATCAAGCCAACTTGTAGGTGCCAAGGATGTAAGTAAATTTTAATTTAATTTATTACTCATTGGCTGAATATGTTTACCATGGGGTATTTCAGGGAAGGGTATGATCATCAGGGTTTTAGGCAAGTCAATAAAGTGAGGTAGACCCATTTGTTCTTTATTTTGTACTCAGTAATGTCTTTGAGATAATGGGTATCTCATTTAAATTTACTGAGATTCCCAAGTGTAAGTGTAACTTGAGCTCCAGGATGGACTAAGGCCATGAAGATTTGCCAATTAATGTATTTCAACGGATGTGAATGTAAATTCAGATCCTATGTGGTAAAGGCCTAGGGTTAATCTGCATACCTTTTGTCTTTTTGATGTATATATTCTTTTACAATACTTTGGATTTCTAATTGCATCAAATTGTGGAGGTGGACTTCTGTTTCCAGTTTTTGTTTCCTCTCTCTTTCAGATTTTGTTCTTTCTTTCTTTCTTTCTCTCTCTCTCTCTCTCTCTCTCTCTCTCTCTCTCTCTCTCTCTCTCTCTCTCTCACACACACACACACACACACACACACACACATTTCTCTGTGGTTTTTGGCCCCATTTTGGTACTACTCATATTTATAAATGTTATCTTCTAGAAAGCCTCAAATCAACCTCACTAAGGTGAAGGGCCTCCTGGTGAGAATACCTGAGTTACTGCCTTTGTTGGTGCCATGTATGTTTACCCCTCAAGCTTAATTAAATTTAAGCAGAGCAAGGATTGGCAAAAAAGACAAAGGAAGCAGCACTACAAAGCATTTCCTAGAGTCCTAATAAGTCATCTGGCTAGGATTATGGTCAGCGTGTTAATAGTAACTGCTCTTCTTCCATAAGAGCCACCACCTGGTGGGATTACATACTGCACAAGATGTGAGTCTCTTCCCGGAATACTCCATAAAATGAGGAGGAGTATGTGCTTGAGAGACACACCCAATAGTTGCAGAGGAACAGTCTTTCCCCTGAGTTTAGCATCAGTCCTGGTTTACCCAATTCAATATGAGATGCACTGATAAGTGTAGGTTGAGACACAGGACCCAGGGCCACCTTTAGAAGAGCTGAAATCTCATACTTTTGTTCCTAAAAGCTAATTATTGAAACTTTGGACTCAGGTCAGTAAATTTACCACAAAGGCTCTGTAGAACTCCGCAAATGCAACTCGGCTCAAAGTACAGCATGGCTCAGAGTACCTGCAGGCAGTCACACAGCTCAAAGCGACCAGCGCAGAGCAGCACACAGGCAGTGCAAAGACTGTGCTTGCAAGCAGACTGCAGAGCCAGACTGTACATCAAAGCAAGAAATGAAAGAGCCTAGTGGTAGAGAAATTTGGGAATGACAATCAGGGAGGGAGGTTACCAATCCCTGAAGCCTCCCCCAGCTTTTAGCAGCCAGACCCTTCCCCCTCTGCGGCCAGCATGGGAACTTATTTAAAGGTGAACAAATGGAAAGCACCAACTTTTCCTCATCCATCAGAGAATTGAGGACACAGAGCAAACTGCTGCCCCTCAAAGTGGAGAGACAGACAGGCAATGATAAAGAATCCCCTTATCAGAGCAGTAATCTCATGAGAACTTGATAGGAAAACCTAAACTGTATCTGACCAATTGCTGGTGGCTCAGTGTGGGTAAGATTGATAGTTAAAACTTCAGGCGATCCCAAGCTTGGAGGGGCATCCGTTTTTTGTGACTTTTCCTTCTAGGATCTCTATCATGTTCTCACAAAGATAGGAGAAAAATCCCCTCATGCTTCCAGCAGGGGGAGTGAAAAGTGAACCATTTCTAAATAGCTTGTGTTCCAACAGTCCGCCCCCTGGGTGAGCTATTTAACTAAGCCTAACCAGCTGAGACTTGATTAGTGTCTGATCTAGCTGTGCAAGGGAAATGAGAAAAAATGCAAAATAAAACTCGAGATAACAGTAACAGGAAAAGAAAACGTCTTCGATGGTCTCATTGGTAGACTGGACAGCTGAAGAAAGAACCTGAGTTTCAGGATACTAGAACAGACACAAACTGAAAACAACATGAAAAAGACTTAAGGAAGAAACAGAATGGAGTGTGCAAGAGCTGTGGATGCCAGAACACGTGGAAATACTAAAGGGAAAAGAAATAGAGAAAGGAACAGAAGAAATACAGGAGACAGTAATGACTGAGAATTTCCTCAAATTAATGTCAGATACCAACCCACAAATCAGAGAAGCTCAGAGAACCATGAAGAGGGTATATTAAAATACAATGCACACAATGCCTAGGCATATTTTCAAACTGCAAAAACTCAAAGATAGAGGAAAAACTTGAGAAAAGAGGAAAAAATAGGTTATATATAATGAAGAGTAAAGGTAAGAATTACATCCAACTTCTTCATAGAAACCAAGAAAATAAGAAGAGAGTGGAGTGAAATATTTAAGGTTGAGAGAAAAAACACCAACCTAGAATTCTGTATCTTTTCAACTTAACATTCACAGTGAAAGAGAAATAAAGACTTTCTCAGATACAGAAATTGAGGGAATTTCTTACCCATCGTCCTGCCCTGCAAGAAATGCTAAAAGAGTATTTCACAGAGAAGGAAAATTACATATGTCAGAAACTTGAATCTACATAAAGAAAAAGAATTAGAGAAAGAATAAATAAGGCAAAGTAAAAGCTTTAATTTTTTTGTCTGAATTGATCTAACAAAGTTTGTTCAAAATTATAATGGTAACAATGTCATTGATGTTTATAACGTGGTGTAAATGAAGTGAATGATAATACTGATCAAAAAGACAGAAAGGAGGGATTAGGATTACTTGATCATTACAAGGAACTTGCAGTGGTCATAAAGTGGTATAGTATTTTAAAATAGACTTAGATTAGTTGTAAATATATGTTGTAAACTCTAGGAAAATCACCAAAAGAAGAAAAAAGGAAGAGGAGGAGGAGCAAAAGGAGAGGGGGAGAATTGATACCCCAAGAAGAGAGAGAAAATGGAATCATAAACCTTGAAAAACAGAACAAGAGTGGAAGATAAAAACAGGAAAAAAGAACAGGGCACTAACCAGAAACATTAACAAATATGATATAAATGCAAATATATCAATAATCATTTTACATGCCAATGGTCCATGAACCAATTTAAAGACAGAGATAGCCATAAGTAATCAAAAAACAATTTCAACCATGTATCATTTATAAGGAACTCACTTAAATTATAAAGAGACACATGATTAAAAGTGAAGAGATGGGTAAAGATAGAACATGTTAACGTTACTCAAAAGAAATCTGAAGTAGTTATTTCAGAAAAGACAAGCTTCAGAGAAAGGAAGATTATCAGGGACAAAGAAGAACATTACTTAACAATAAAGGGGTCAACTTAAACATAAAAATTCTTAACCTATGTGTACCTAAAACAGAACATCAAAATATGTAAGACAAAAACCAATAGGATGGCAAAGATAAATAAATGAATTTTCTATTTTTATTGGAGATTTTAACATCCATTTCATGCTTTTTTGGATTAGAAAATATTTCTACTGATTTTCTTTTTTATTTTTTGTTTTAATAAGTACATAATCATTGTACATATTTACGAGGGAGAGTATGATATTTTAATGTAAGTATACAATGTGTACTGATCAAGTCAATGTAATTAGTACATCCATTTTCTTATCATTTCTTTATGTTTGGGGCCTTCAAGTTCCTCTCTTCTAGTGTTTCGTAAAGTGTGTTAAAGGTCATTGTGAATGATAGCCATCCTATTGTGCTATAGAAGAGTAGAACTTATTGTTCCTACCCAGTCCTGTTACCCATCATCCAACTCCCTCTAAACCTCTTTCAACTTACCCTTCCTGTCCTCTAGTAACTACTATTTCACTCTTTCCTACTTTGAGATGACCTATTTTAGCTTTCACATATAAGAGAAATTATACATTATTTGTCT